GGCACTGTAATTGCTCCGGATACATTAGCTGGAGCTATTACTTTGTAAAACGGTGACCACTCCTGTAGGCAGCAGTCGGCCCGTGCCGGTATTCACAGCTGTGTGCTAGGAAGTCCCCAGGGACCACTAACTTGCTAGGTTCACACCCAAATCCATCACCTTCTCCCAAGCTCACCCTTCCTAATTTCACCACCATCCCATTACAACCCTGGCCCTCCCCTGCCTAGCCTCCCAGCTCCCCTGCCCCCCAACCCCCAGTCCCACACTCTAGGAGGCACACATCCAGAGAACAGAAGGACATTAGGTAAAAACTAAGGAAATCTGAATTAACTTTACTGCATAAAAGTACATCAATATTGGTTCATTAATTGTAGGAAATGGACCCTACTAATGTAAGATATTAATAAAGGAAACTGGGTGAGGGGTCTATGGGAACTTTCTGTACTATATTTGCGATCTTTCAGTGAAACTGAAACTGCTCTAAAATTAAAAGTTTACTTTAAAAATGTTTATTTTTTAAAATTAACAACAGCAAAGGAATTTTGAGAAAATGACCCCAGAGACGATAAGTACATTGTCCAAGATAGACCCAGGATTTGAATCTGGATCTGCTTGACCCCAAGGCTTTTATGAGTAACTGCTTAGACTGCCTGAATACCAGTGAGAAGATTCCCCTGAGGGGAAGAAGAGAGGATGAAGAGGGGGACAGAAGGAGAAGATTATCACAATATTTAGTAAAGTCAGAGTTTAATGACCCAGCCCACATATAGTATGATTCCATTTATATGAAATTTCCAAAATAAGCAAATCCATAGAGACAGAAAGTAGATTAGTGTCTGCCAGGGGCTGGGGGATGGGAGACTGGGAAGTGACCGCTTAATAGTATAGGGTTTCTTGGGGGGGGGGGGTGATGGTTGCAGAACACTGAATATACTAAAAACCACTGAATTGTACATTTGGGGCAACCGAATGAGACTCAGTCTCAAAAATAAATAAATAAAATGTTTTAAATGGTGAGTTTTATTATTTAACTTTTATCTCAATTTAAAGAAATTTTCAATTTGAGACCCCCCCTTCTGTGGGGATGTGACTCTCCACCGCACCATTTACCAGCTGCGTGTGACCATGAGGAAGTTACCTCTCTGTGCCTCAGTTCCCTCATTTGGCAAATGGGGGTAATAGCAGTACCTCTCATAAGGTTGTGGTCAGCAAATAAAGCATTTAGGGCGGTGCCTGGCACACAGCAAACGCTCTACATTAGCTTTAATATTATAATAAAGAGATGGGAAAGAGCGAAGGACCTTGACCTTAGGCTCCTCCCCACTACAGGGACCAGGAGTTTGGGGTCTGTTCCGAGCTGGAAAACTCAGAAGGAACCGGGAACTTATTCCCAAGCTTTCCTACTCAAGATCCTGCAAACCGAGTTGTCTGAGACCCTCTCTCCCTGGGAGACCCACTGCCTTCGCAGGGAGACGGAAGGAAGCGGGAGGCGTGAGCCGCACCGCGCCGCCTAGTGGCACCTGCGAGCTCAAGGTCCGGCCGTAGAGGGAGGAGCCAAGCCCAACCCACTTCCCCAGGGAGCCCCTACAGCCCCTGCTTTTAAATTATGATTGTTATGAAATAGGCCGCTTTTATTCAGCCAGATTATGGGCTTTATGCATATTCTTTTTAACCCTGTGAGGTTGTTATTATTCCCATTTTACAATTGAGGCAACTGATGCTTGGAAATGTTTAGCAGTTGGCCCAAGATCTCCCAGCAGCTAAGAACGTTCCCCCAGGTCTAGGGCCACGCTCATCAGTTTAGCTCCGGATTCCAGAACTCTTTCCTACACACTCCTCTGGTTTGAGAGAAATGAGGGTAGTGGGTGGAAGCATCTGTAACCCCTCTAGGGGTCAGAACCTACCCCTGAACTGAGTTCTATGCAGTTCAATGACACTTCTAGCCTGGGAACCGCTGCTGGGGGCGGTGAGGCAGGAAATGGAGGGGAGGTAGGGGGCATCTTCTCAGCACTCATTTGGCCAGGCTAGAGGCCCTCTGACAATTACCTCCTCTAAACCCCAGTATCATTACTGTACTCACCCAATCAATGTTGCTTGCATTCCTACTGTGTGTGGGGGGAGACTGTCCTAGGTGCCAAGGACATCATGGGGACAGGAGAGACAGGACCCCTGCTTCAAGCTGCTCACTGCCTCATCCTCTTGCTTAGCTCACGGCAGGACCCCTTCGCTATGAATCCCATGCCTGGTGCTGGGTTTGGGACCACACTGGTAAATCTTAATCCAGCTACTCCGGTGTCCCCTGAGGGAGAAGGCTTGCCCATTCTTCACCCAGCCCAGGGAAAGTTATGGCTCAGGGCAGTCTGACTCCCTTTGAAGCCCTTTCTCTGACCCCAGCTCAGGGCTGGCACTCTGAGATACAGAGAATTGCTCAGCAGCAGGTGGCTGAGAAGAGACATCCTCCCAGAGACCATACAGGAAGAGGGATGTAGGGGAGTTATAGAGAGCTTCCCAATGTGCTAAGCCCCCCACCTACCTTTTGTTTGGAGTCCTGGAGGGAAAGCAGGGCCCAGGAACCCCCATGGGCATAAGTGAAGAATTGAGAGTGTTTAGGCTAAGGAGGGAAGTGAGCAGGGGCTGGCAGGAGGGGAAATGACTGCCCTCCTTTTGTGTGCCCTCCCACCCCAGACCCCCTTCTCTCCAGCCAGGAATTAAACAAAACCACGAAGCCTGACACTTGGACTACAAGGGCCTGCCAAATACACTTTACCACCTAAAACACCAAAGTTCCAAGGACTAGAACTTTTTAGAAAAATCTCCAATATCCCACTGGCTTTCTGACAGGGAGAGACAGAGCACACACAAGTGCATTCTGTGATCTCTGTTTGCTGCCCTGTCTCTGCTGAAATTCCTGCTGAGCTCTCCAGCATAATGTCCTTGACCATGAGCCTGTGTGTCCAGGGAATGACAGTCAGATGTGGATCTTGGCACACACGTGCCTGTATGTGCCTCCTAGCAGTAGTGAAGTATCCAAATATTTATTTGCCTTTAGAGTCGCCTATTTGTCCCTTTAGTTGTGTGTGCCTGTGCTGTGTTTGCTTTTTTTAGTCATGTATCTTTGGTATGTGGGTGTCGCTGTAGGGATGCATATTTGTTGTGTGATGTTTCTGGGGGGGTCACTTTGCACCTGTGTGTCTTTGGTGTATGTTTTCTTGTGTGTACCTTTGTAGGTGGATATGGGGTGTGTGTATGTGTGCCTATGTGTGTTTGCAGTTCATGGAAGGGTGGAGCTGTCTGGGTGTGATGAGCCACTGACTCTCCCATCTACTGCCCTTGCCTGGCTGTCCGGAGCCAAGCTAAAAATAACCTACTTACCTTCACCCACAGGGACTTTTCTCAAAAGGCCAAAGTCCTTCCTAGGTAGCCCCGATCCACCCATATCCACCCTCCTACTCCTGGGTGCCTCACCAGAGAAGGGTGGGGAGGTCAACTGATGGCATTCACCACCACCCAGAAGCTCTAGACCCTAGCCTGTTATGGGAGTGTGTGGGGGGAGGGGAAGGGTACTGGGAGGTTCTGCCTTTATCTTTGCTCCAGGGAAGCGGTTGAGGCTGGCCCTATTGCTTCTGTGCCCTCACCCTATCAAGCAGGCCCCCTTTCAGAGAGCAGATCTATCCCCCCAAGCCCTTTCTCCTTCAATTTAGGGAGTACCTCTGGGGACACTTGGCCCTATTCCAGCCCACTGACCTCTTCCTGACTTCACTCACCCCCTCCCAAAGCAACTTGCTACACCTATGTTTGAGGAATGATTCCAGACACCAGCTCTGGAACGAGAGAAAAGCCCAAATAGTGAACAGATCAGGGCTGGGTAGAATGAACATTCTAGCCAGCAGCCTGGCCCTTGTCCCAGCTCAGTCCAGCCTAGAGGAAGGTCCCCAGCTCAGAGTGTTTCTTTCCAATCCCACTTTTCCTGTCCTCTTTACTCAGTCTCTCATTCACTCAAAGCTGTGTGATCTCAGCTGCGCCTCAGTTCCTTCATTTGTAAAATGGGGCTATAAATGGTACTTATCTCAGAGAGTTGCTGTGAGAATTGGCCGAGATACATAGAAAGCCCTTAGTCCTGTACCTGCACATGAAGGATTGCTGCTGTTAGCTGATCATTCATGCTGATGGCTCTGGTCACAATCCCAAGACACTGCCCATCCTTCAAACTTCACCCTACATGCTCCCTGGCCCATCCTTGAGTGGTCACAACTTCCAGGAATCAGACTGGTGGGAGAGGAGAATCTTGAAAAGAGATTATTGACACCTGTGCTGCAGCTGCCATACACATTCCCCCCATGCAATTCTACACTCCTTTATGAAATAGTTGTCATTATTCTCCATTTTACAGATGAGGATGAAGGGAGCATCGGAATGTTTAGGTAACTTGCTCAAGGTCACACAGTAGCTAAGGAGCAGAGCTAAAGTTTATACTGAGCCCCCTGATGACAGACTATTCCCCTCTGCCCTTAGGAGGCTAGTTTACGACTGCCCAGGATCAAAGCCTGGGAGACATCCAAGGGTCTGGCAGACAGTTCTGCTGGAGGTCATACAGGCAGGGCCCACCTAATCTATGCCCAAATTCACATAGCTGTAAGCCCTAGCGGCACCAGGACTTGAGTGTTCTTATTTAGGGAGCCTTTTTTGGAAAGACCCCCACATGTGGAAGGCATAGAGCGTAGTACAGACCAAGGAGCCAAAAGTGAGAGTTCTAAGTTTAATCATCGGAGAAGGCTGACACAGTCAAGCCAATCTGGGGAAATGAAAATTGGACAGACTCTGCTTACAGTCATTTCTCCACTAATCGAATTTTTCAACGTTCTTGGGCCCCCCTAAAGGTCCCCTGACTATGCAGCTGCCGCACCCAGATGGCCATCGCGTCCCCCCTTAAGGCTCCCCTGCCGACTCCGCCCTCGCCCGCCCAGGCCCCGCCTCGGCCGCGCTAGGTCTTCTCGGCTCGCGAACTCACTTGGGCTATCGAGCGGCAGCGCTCGGCACTGTGGCAGGCAGCGGGGGCCGGCCAGGGCGCCGGAGCCGCGGGTTGCGGCAGGGCTCGGAGAGGCACTGACGGGGGCTCGGACAGCGCGGCGCCGGCCGCTGCGAGTACCACTGAGCTCACTCACCTTTGGTCGCGCAACTTCAGGGCCAGGGCGCAGGAGCTCAGGGAGCGCTTGGAGCCTCGGAGCCAGAGGGGCGCGCGGGAGCCTGGCTCGAGAGCGGGCACCGTACGCCCATTGCGCTCCGAGCCCCGGGCGGCCCTCCGCGCAGCGTGGCTGCCGCTGCCCCCACGGAAGGCACGGGCTGGCGCGGCCGGGCTCCGGGGAGGACGGCGAGGAGGAGGCGGCGGCGGCGGAGACGGCGGCGGCGAGACTGGGGCCAGGGAGAGAGCACTGGGGGAGAGGCGCCCGAGCCGGGCCGCGGGAGCATGTGGACCCGGAGCGGAGCGCGGGGTGCGCTACTGCTGGCGCTGCTGCTCTGCTGGGACCCGAGCCTGAGCCAAGCAGGTAGGAAGCGATAGGGCCTGGGGGTAGGGGCGAGGGGACCTTTGCGCCTCACTCTACCCTGAACTTAGGGTGATCCTTTGCCGCGTCAATGCGTCCAGGGAAAGCAGCAGGGGCGCCCAGGATAGAAGGCAGATTTCTTTGCCCACTAAAGTGGGCGATGGCTCAACTACCTCATGGGGGGTGCAAGTCCGAGGGTTTTTTCCAGTAAGCCGGAAGCTTCCTACTCCTGCCTGGAAGAGATCGCTTATTTTCCCTGAAGCGGGAGAGAACGGGTCAGAGTCGGGGTCTGAGTCTCCGGGAGTACCCGCCTCTAGGGGACTCCTGGCTCCCCACTGGCCTGGCATTGGCAGCGTAAAAGAAACTGGCTGTTCGGGCAAGGTGTGCACTCCCTGCGGTTCGCTAGTAACTTCCTAGTCCCGGTCCAGGCTCTGGCGCGCTGCACAGACTGGAATCCGCAGACCAGGGGGAGGGAGGAGAGACCTGCGGAGTTTAGGAAGCGCGGGATCCGTTCTGACAGCTGGAGGAGGCTGAGTTGAAGGGCTTTGGCCACTGAACTGGAGCCAAAGGGAGAAGCTTTGGCTACTGAAGAGAGAAACCCTGCACACATAGCTTTCCCCGAGATCGTGGGGCGCGAAGGTCTCAAAGGATGTTTTTCTAGGTGTTGGTGTGTAAGTTGGAAATGGGCGGAGGTAGTTAGCGATCCTGCCGAGTTTCTCTTTAAATGAGTCACTGACATTCTTGCTGTCCGGCGAACAGACAAAGTGCGCCCTCCTCTATAGGACCCCTGCTCTGGACTCAGCACGATGCCTTTGTAGAGTAGATGGGCTCTTAAAGTCACCGACCCGCTTCTCCTGCGGTGGATGTGTGTCTCGCTCGTCCTGTAGCTGGACTAGGCGTCACTGGAGGCTGCGTCTTCCCGGGCAACCAGTGGACTCACTGGAGCCAGCTTCTCTTTGGTACCCAAAGCCAAGCAGGTGGGCTGGCTGCAGCTGCTTGGCGCCTCAGCTCCGGAGCAGGATAGGGTTAGGGGAAGGAGTCATCCTGCATGGAGTCCTCTCTGAGATGAGGCTGAGAACGAGGTAGGAAAACTGGAGCAGAAAGTAGACGCGATGGCGCAGCCCTATCCCATCACCACCTTTGGCTTCCATGTTGACATCCGCCCTTTCCCCCAACCCCATAGCCAAAGATTTCTCATTTAGGAATTAATGATTCCCACGGCCAGGAGTGAGGGCTTGATTTTAGCACCTCACTTTTTTTTCAAGCCCTGTGCTGTAAAGTTACAACACTCAATCATTTGATCCAAGTTAATTATGATTTGGGCAGACTCTGGTATTTACAGCAGTGTTTTGAAGTTTGAAGGTAATGATGGGGAGGAGGAAGGCAGATGCTGAACGGCCAACCTTGTTTTAAAGGGTGCACTTAAACCTGGGTCCGGGTGTTGGTTTCTGGTTTTAAAGTGTTTGAGGAGGTGACTGAAGAGCAGAAGTGTCTATAAATGCCACATGGGCAGGGTTGAGTCTTGGGAAACTGTTTTTGTACCAGCAGGCTAGTGGGATAAGGAATAAATCCTGAGGTTACCGGAGTTGAGGGGGAGGAACTCTGATAGACAGGAGAAACACAAGACCGATTGGCCTATAGTTCTTTGGGTGGGTGGGTGGGCTCAGCCAGGAAGGCTGGAGGTGGCCTGCCTTTTTCACTTAACAAAGCATCCAGCCCCCACCTTCTCCAGAAGAAACCCCAGGCCCAGGGTTTTGATGGATTTGGGCATCAATGGTGCCCAATGAGAAATGGCCTCTGATACTGGGCTTTGATTTCTTACTAGTGAGCAGCAGTGGTGTTGGAATTGTGCTCATTACTTAGCTCGGCAGGAGCTGCCTGCCCACCAGCCTGGAGAGGGGCCAACTGGTGGGGTCGGCCTGCAGCCTTCTCATTTCCCAGAATGTGTGGCCCTTGGAAACCTGCCTTCAGATGGCAGAACATGTCTCTTCCTCCCACACAAGCTTTTCCCTCTAATGCCACAGGCACAGAGCATCTTTCTTTCAGATGTGCTTTGGGCTTTTCCAGTGGATCCCTCTTGAGTCCCATCTCATTGACGGGGAAAACCAAGCCAGAGTGTTGGCTTTTCCCAAAACTTGCCTTCACTTGACTGCAAATCGAAGCCTTGTGTGCAGGGCTCCTGTCCAATAGCCAGGCTGATTCAGGCCGTATGGGATCCTTCCTCCAATCTTCATCCAGCCCTCTGCTGTGAGCTAAGGCAAGGAAGGTTGTCTCTCAGAGAGGGCTCTTTTCTGGGGGTGTCCAAGGTCCCCTCAAGTGGCAGGCATATCTCTTCTTTCCCCCACCTCCATCCCCACTTAGGAGCGAGCTCCCTTTACAGCACTGAGAATTTTTTGTAAGCCATGAATTCTATTGGTGCAGAAATCAAAACTGGAACCATAAAACCCTGATCCTAGAAGGACATGTCAGCAAGTGACTGTCCAGGAGAGGCCACTTCAAAAGCTTTAGTTGGTCCTGGAAATCTCCTCCCACCCCACACTTCAGCGCTTCCTGGAGCTTTTAATGAGCCTTTCCTTGGCTTCTGGCTGGGATGGTTGAGAAGGAGCAGAGGTGTCATGATAACGCTTCTCTTTAAAGTGCAATTAAAAGCAGAGTTTTTCTAGTGTAGCTGCTGTGTTTGTAGGGCGGGGAGAGGGTGATGGCCTGTCCTAATCTCTCACTATACTCACTAGAGCAAACACCGATCTCACTTAAACAAATGGAAAATCAAGTGTCTTAATGTTTTTTCTCATTAAAGTGAAAGTACCACTGCAGGGGAGGAATTTTTCCTATAATCTCTCTCCTTGGCCTCTTCCCCTCCCCCCCCCAATTTTGTAGTATAAAATTGAAAATAAAAATTCCAGGCTTGGCACCTGGAATGGTTCAATGGTTCAATGGTTAGGTGCCAGCCACATACACCAAAGCTGGCCCATTCAAACCTGGTCCCAGCCTGCTAAATAACAATGACACCTACAACAAAAGAATAACCAGGCATTGTGGTGGGCGCCTGTAGTCCCAGCTACATGGGAGGCTGAGGCAAGAGAATTGCTTAAGCCCAAGAGTTTGAGGTCACGTGAGCTATGATGCCACGAGACTCCACTGAGGGCAACATAGTGGGATTCTGTCTCAAAAAAAATTCCCTCTTTTCCAATCCACTTATTTAACTGTTAAAGCTTTGGGACAGGCCCAGCTTGCACAGGGTCACAATGGGACTCGGGTAGAACTCAAGCCTCACAAACCTCATGCTTCTAGCTCTTCATTTCATCTGGGCTAGAGACCCACAATCATGGGTCTGGGGTTGAGGTTGTAAAACTGAAGCACCACATAAGGCAGGCAGATATGATTGCTTTGCTAGCTGGGTTAGACTGGAACTTGTAGCAGGATGGGGAACGAGGGTTGAGTTGGGAACATGGATAAGGTGGGAGCATGGACACAGCAGAGATAGAATGGAGCAGGGGCAAAGGTCAGCAGTGAAGGTCTGAGACCAATCAAGTTTCTCCTCTACTCCCCCAAAGCATTGATCTGAGCAACTGCCTTGGCCTGGACAAGGTAAGACAGATGATCCCAAGCCAAGCTCCCTTGCTTGGACTAGGGCTAAACATTAGTATTTTATAGCTCTGTACACTTTTGTATACTTGGGGACAGAATATGTTTTTACTTTTTATTTTGAAGGTTGTTTTTTAGAGCCAGAGTCTCACTCTGTCACCCTTGGTAGAGGGCCGTGGCATCACAGCTCACAACAGCCTCCAGCTCTTGGGCTTAGGCGTTTCTCTTGCCACAGCTTCCTGAGTAGCTGGGACACAGGTGCCCGCTACAACGCCCAGCTATTTTTTTTGGCCGTGGTGGGTTTGAACCCACCACCCTGGGTATATGGGGCCAGCACCCTACTCACTGAGCCACAGGTGCTGCCCTCATTTTGAAGTTTTGGGAGCCAGTGTTCTCCCCATCCCTCTTTGGTGTTTCGGTTCTTCTGGATTGAAGGCCCTGCAACCTGTCAGGGGCTGTAAAGGCCTAAGGTGAGGTCTGCCTCCCACCTCCCCTTCCCCGAGCCTAGGAGGTTTCTAAGGAGGGTTGGGGGTTGCCTAGGACTTTGGGGGTGGGATGGGTGGAGATGGATCTCTTCTCTTCCAAGTGCTTAGAGAACAAGGTTAGTGATTCTGACTGGACAGTCCCAGGAGCCTTCCCCCAGGCCTGCTGGATACACATATACTCTTTTGAACTTCAGTGCCAGGGTTGGTTCAAAAAGGCACAACTTGGAGCCACTGAGGCCTCCAAAAAAAGGTGGAGGGGCTGGGACTTGGGGTTGGCGACCTGGGCCCAGGAAAACAGATGCCCCCAGAGGGCAGGGAGGAAAAAGTGGTGGGGGTGGGTCAGGCCATAGTTGCTGCTTCTCTTGGTGTCCTCCTCCTTTTCCTCACCAGTTTCCTAAACAGCTTCTACAAATAGAGTCATTAAAGCTGTGAAGGCGAAATGAAACCAAACAAGTGTGTTCTGTCCTTTTCTGTTTCTTTCTATTTTTTTTAAGCAAATTTAAAGTACTGTAATTAGAATAATACCGGGAGAGGGCAGTTTCCGGGAGGCGGAGGGACAGGCGCCCCCCACTCTCCAGCTCAGCTCCCAAAGTTGGGGCTGGGGCGCCACCTCCTGCCCCTATCTGGCCTGGCCTGCTCCCTGCCAGGTGCCGCGGGGGTTCCTCCCGTCCCGAAGCTTTTTGGTGGGCCTGGGGGCAGGTGAGCCCCTCGGGGGCTTTCTGGGAGACGGCTGGCGGCTGGAGAGGCCCTGGCTGGGAGCTGGGTGGCGCTGGGTTGGAACCCTGGCCCAGCCGCAGCGCCCCCGCGGACAGACAAGCCTAGGCGGAGTGCGCTCAGCCACAGGTCCCCATGGCGCCCCTTCCTCCCAGCTCCTGCTCTTCGGCGATGCTAATAGCAGTGAAAATATTTGCTGAAGTGCAGGCATAAATCACC